AGCTGAAGGCCACTGGTCGTGGGTCTCCCCCACCCAACTCTTAGGTTTGTGGAGCATCCAGGCCCCTTCCACAACATGAGAGCAATTGTCTGGGGGGGTGCGGGTGTGGGGAGGGGGAGACACTCTGATAGTTACCAGCAGTCGACATGCGGCTTTCTGAGCAGCCGGCAAATCGCCTGCTGCCAACCTGGGACTTGGTCTCAGCCGGGGTTGCAATCAATAATTTGTCCAAGGGGAGAATTCATGAGTGGGGAGGGGGCTGCCATCCTACCTGACCCAGGAGCAGGCCCCTGGCTTGCACTGCTGGGGGTGGGCAGAGCATATCAATAGGCACAAGCCGCTCCCTTTCCACCCCATCCCTGGGCTACACTTGCTGGCACCTTTCATCTTGCTAACGGCCTAGCACGGTCTTCATTCCTGCCTCCCTCCCAGACCATGTGAAAAGCAGGCTGGTCACCCTGGGACAGCTGTGAGCCTTGTACCTTCCTGCCTCTCCCGCATGCCTCCTTCGGGACAACCTGCTCTTGTGCTTTGCTGTCCAGCACGGTGGCTGTAGCACCACCCGGCCAAGTGCCGGCAAGGGGAACAGGTGCCGGGGGACCGAGACAGGCCACGAAATGTCGAGACTGCGATGGAAAGACCAGGGATGGTGAGAGGTTCAAAGGCCTCATGCTGGCTGTGACAAGCAGGTGGCAGGACAGGGCACCACTGGCTTGCAGGGGGCTCCCAGCCCTGCGGCAGTGCAAGCTCTGGGTTAGGGCACCATTCGAGAGGAAGGCAAAAATCAGCTTTAGGTTCCATCCCCCCTTCCCAGTGAGCTTCTTTATGTGGCGTTTCGCGGCTTGCCATGGGCGCTCAGGCACTGCCCTTGCTCCCTTGCTATGCGTGTGCTGACCTGGCCTGTTTCAGCCCCCTGGCATCCCTGGGAACAGGGGCTGCAGCGATTCTGCTCTGGTTTCCCCACAGTCCCAGCCAGGCACGGGCACTAGAATCCCACCCTAGAATCCCACCATGACGTATATGCCTTTCTGAGGGATGCAGTCCCGTCCCCTCCCCCACCCCAACTTCCAGGGAGAGGGAGCATTTCAGGGGAGGCTCTGAAAGCAAAAGCCCTTCAAGGGTTGTACTGAAGCACAAGCTGCTCCCGCAGATGCCCCAAAGGGAAGATGCGGCACTGGAGTTGGGGAACCGCTGCTGCAGGCAGCCCCCTTGCTTGCCGTGAACTCACTATGAAGCCGGAGTCCAGGACAGCATCTCTCTCGTGGCAAAGCACTGCTGCCTGTCCTTCAGCAGGGAGAGCCTTCGGAGCATTTGTAAACGCTCTGCATTTCATCGCGCTTTGCAGCCACTGATTAGGCCTCAGAAGTACGTGTTGCCATGCCCATTTCACAGAGGGGAAGTCAGAAGTCTGGAGGTTAAGTGACTCACCCAAGCTCTGGAAAACAGTCAGTGTCAGAGCAGGGATTCCAGGGTCCATGCGCAGACTGGTAGCCCATTCTGGTCCAATTGGAAAGGCAATGGGATTGTCAGCGGCAGCACCAGCAAGCTTCCCCTTCCCAGATTTACCCCCCAGCTGGCAAGTGAGGTCAGGAATGGTTACTGCTGCACTTCTGACAAATGGAAAGTGGAGGGTGGAGGGACTGGCTTTGCCTGGCTCATTTCTCTGCTCTTCTGGCTGCTGTAGGCAGTAACGTATATGCCCAGGTTTGGGGAAACATGGGCACCAAGCCATCTCTCGGAAGCCACAAAGGCTGATGGGAGCAGGCGGGAAACATGTCCAGTCACCTGTTCTTCAGAAACATCTGTTTGCTAGCACCCACAATAGCACATGGGAACGTGGAACGAACAGCCTTCCCGGAGACCCCTGCTCAAACACAGCAGGCCACGGACATTGGGTGGGGTGGGAGAGGGAGAGTCCTCTAGATGCACAAGGCCAGGAGCGAAGCTCTTCTGGACACACAGCTCTTGCTACCCAGCGTGGGCCAAGCGCTTCACGAGCTCTGTCTCACATGCAAGTTCTTTCCGAGAACAGCAGCAGCGATTTGCCAGAACCCACAGCACTCCTCAGCTCCACGCCGGCGGAGATCAAGCAACTGATGTCTCAACGCACAGCCAACCTGCGGAACTCTTCGCCAGGGGAGGTTGTGAAGGCCAAGACTATAACAGGGTTCAAAAGAGAGCTAGAGAAATTCATGGAGGTTGGGTCCATCAGTGGCTATTAGCCAGGATGGGCAGGGATGATATCCCTAGCCTCTGTTTGCTAGAAGCTGGGTATGGATCACTTGATGAGTCCGTGTTCTGTTCATTCTCTCCCTGGCCACTACTGGAAGATGTGATACTGGGCTAGATGGACCTTTGGATTGACCCAGTATGGCCGATCTTACGTTTAGCATGAGCCACCAAGACACAACAAGGGAGTAACCTCAGAGAGACTGTCTTGTGTCCCACGTCCTTCAGGTGATTGAAGGGTGTGAAATGGGAAGCAGGCCAGTTTTCGATCACACCCAGTTTAGGATGGCATGCCTTAGAAACATAGCATTGTGGTATGGATGATGAATATACTCTCTCTTACTAGTGTTATCTATGCCTTCATTTAGCTGCTCAGTAAAACTCATGGGGTGTGGGTGGGGTGTAATCTAACTTCGGAGTGGGCTGTCAAACTGCCGGGATCGGTTTGGAAATGATCCTTGGGCTGGTGCGTACAGTCGCACCTCCCATCTCTAATCCCTGCAACGACGGTTGGCAAGGAAGGGGGTTTTCAATGTTGGGGAGGACGGGGATGGGGGGGGAGGGTTCTTGAACTCACCAGTTTAATAATACAGTGTCGCTTTACTGAAATGAATAAAAACATGTTTTAAAAGAAAAAAAAACCCGGTGGATTGAAGTTGCCGTGTTGCCAATTGCACCTTTGTGAAAGAGTTTGGAGCTGGGTTTCTGTGGCTAACAGAAAAAAACCCCAAAACAAACAGACAAAAAGCATCCCACCCCTTTATCAGCAAAGCGTTTCAATTAGGTAATAAACAAGGATGCTGTTAGCCTGTAGTGTTTCATTGCTGCTCCAACCTTACGGGCTCCCCTTTCTGACGGCTGGATGGTGTCCTCTAACATAGGGAGAGGGCGCAGGGAGAGCCAGCAGGAGGAACAGGGAAGGGGCATGAGGATGCACCCGTTTAGCAATTTTGGGGGGCACAGAGGGGCGGTGCACCTCCCGAGTCGCCTCTGCCTTCTAGAGTCAGGAGAACATGGTGCATTTTATAGCTACTTGCATCAAGGAGGCAGCCTGGCCTAATGCTGCCATTTGAAATGGGAGACCTTTGGCCCCAAATCAATCATGTTCTGCAGGGAGCTGGACGGTCACTTGGTGCTGGCCCCGCCTCCATCTAACCCAGGATTTCCCAACCTATGGGTCGCCAGGCGTCTCCCCAGGTGGCTCTTAAGGAGCTAGTCACACATTGTTTTAATTGCCCTGGTCACCACGTCTTCCTGAATTGTCAAAATGGGTCCCCATCTGGAAAGGTTGGGGACCGCTGGTCTAAAGACACAAACTGCACTCACACAAAGAAGAGCCTGAGGTGGGTAAAAGCAGCTGCCAGCAAGAACCCAGGGTCGGTCTAGCAGCTGTGGCTGCAGAAGGCAGAGGAGGAAGAGAAGCCCTGAGCCAGAGCGGTGGAAGAGCCGCTAAATGCTCCCCTGTTACTACTCTCCCTGGAAAGCCTCGGCCAAAGCTGCTGGGGGTCAGGGCATGAGCATGGATGGGAGAGAAGGGACCCAGGAGCTGCCTTTTTCCATTAAAGTACAGCTCACCCCCAGGTAAGTCTGAGAACTTACTGGGCAGGGGAGAGGACAGAGTCAAGGCCTCCCGGGTTCTGTCCCCCTGGGAAGGTCACTAAACCGCTCCATGCCTCACGTTCCCCACCCGTGCAGTAAGAATCACGGCAATTGCCAGTCCTTGTGCAGCACTCGGAGAAGGCGCACGACAAGCACAGGGGCAGCAGGGCTGAACAATGTGTGGCGGTGCCCAGGACGGGTCCAAGCTCCCCCGCACACCTGCCTAAGGCTCTGGGAGGGTGTTTGGGTGTGAGGAGAGTGGGGGGTGGCATTTGAGGGGGCTGAGAGCTGCCGCAGTGAAGCAGAGCTGGGAGATGGTGGTGGAGTGACGCAGGCTGCTGTGTACATCACTCCGCTCCCCGGGCTCCCGTTGCCATGGTGACTGCCGGGGCCGACCCCTACTGCCTCCCTGCACCAGCCTCCTCCTCCAGGTAATCTCCCAGGCTGCCCTGGGCCCCGTGTGGGGGACCGTTCCATCCATAGGGCAGTTGCGGTGGCTGCCCTGGGGTTCCCCAAAGGGCAGGACCCAGGGTGGCTGCCCCAAACCATCCTATGGACAGGATAGCTCTGGAGGAGGCGAGAGGCGTCTGTACCACAGGCAGCTCCCAAAAGTGACCCACACAGGCCTCTGGCAGCAGCTCCAAGGTGCAGGGTCTGGGAGGGTATTTGAGCACCGCTGCTCAGCGGCATTGCTCCTGCAGCTCCCATTGGCCACCATTCCCAGCCAATAGAATTGGCACTTGGGGTGGGGGCAGTGTGCGGAGACACCCCTAGGGGCCACAGGGACATGCTGGCGGTTCCCAGGAGTACTGTGGCGCGAGGGATGCTGCCAAAGTCCCACTCCACTGCTATGGGTGGCTGGGAGCCTCCAGGACATTTTAAGTCACCTGGGAGCAGCAGGAGGGGCTGGGAGGTGCTCCAGGTGAGGTGCCCAGCAGTGGCAGGCAGGGCCAGAGGAGACACCTGGCCCCAAACATTGGTGGAAGGGGGCCCTTGGAACTGAATATTCCTGGAGCAGGGTCACCACAGGCCCAAATAACTTGTCACCCCGACTATAAAGTATCGTCATCTCAGTAGCTTTGCCTTCTCTGCTTTAGCCACTAGCCCGCGCTGCCGCCTTTCCCTAACCGCCAGTTCACCTCTTCTGGACACAGAGGGAGGAAAGAAAGAAGAGCAACACCCAAGCACTCGGATTTGTTATTTATTGACTTTTTTTCAAATAGAAAGTTCACTTAAGCATAACAAAACAAAACGAACACAGACCCATAACATCTGCCCTGTGTGGTGCCATGGGAGAAATCCCAGAGCAAGCCAGAGGTGAGTGTGCTTCACTATAAATAAAAATATTCCATTACGTGCTTATTTAACATAGCAAAGAGCTGGCACTTTGTAAGAGACCCTGAGCAACTGAGGGGTGAGTTTGTCCCCAGAGTGACCTCCTCTGGGGCATGATTGAGGGGCTGATCCTGCCACTCTGTGGGGCACACGAGAGGTAACAAGGGTCCAGCAGAGCCATTCTCTAGAGGTTACAAGGGCCGAGAGACTGTCTTCACTGAGACAGGAACAAAATGGAATCCCATCCACAGGAAACCCACTGGCGGTAGAGATGTCTCCCCGGTTCCTCCAGATTTAGAAACAGATGGTTAAGAATCAGTCACAATGTCTCTACCTTGAGGCTGCTCAGTGCAAACCATTGTCTGTTGGGAGGAAAGGAGAGGACAGCACCAAACCCGTCACATCTGGTTAGCTTTACGGTGTTCGGCTTTTTTAACGGGGTGATCGATATGCTACCCATTGCATAAGGGAAAGCTTGGCTCCAGAGTGCCCGCAGCTGTGTCCAAGGTCAGCAAGACAAACCCCTGCTCCTACAGAAAGCCCCAGGGGATCTTTGATGTCCATGCAGAGAAGGCAAGAATTTGTTTTGCAAGCTGTCATCTGTCAGATGCACAGTAGAGGCCTGGTACTCCAGCGCCCAAGGAAGGATGAAGGGCTGAGTCATCCCTCCTGGGGCTGGGCACCTGTGTTGCCAGCGAGCACAGACCTGAGCTTCTGATCACGAGGACATCCCTGGTGGCTAACCCCTTGGGAACCCACCTGAAAGGCCCAGGATGAGAAGAGGGAGGAGAGAGGGCTGTGACATCACCCCAGAGCAGGGGATGTGGTAGGAAAGACATTCCACCCGAGGGCCCCTACATCAATCCAAGGCATTACTGACCATCCTCCCACCACTGACCCTTTTAAGCCACCAAAAATAAATCCCTTCCCTCCTCCCTTTTGACTAACCAGGTATTTACTTTGCTACCATACTGCAAAAAACAGCCCCTCTAATGGAGTCTAAAGCCCCACAACAGGCGAGCGGGTCGCTCTGGGGTCAGTGTCGAGACGGAAAGGCCGCAAGGCCTGTGCCACATCGAGAACGCCGACCTCCTAGGCTCTGCGCCCCCCCCTGCCGTTCGCTGGGCCCGGAAAGGATTGCTGGTGGGAACGGGTCTAGCAATGCGTCCAGGGGAGCCACCGTTGCCTTGGGTGGAGAGGTGCTGGCTTTTGAGGAGAGTGGGGAGTTCTGCTGGATGTGCCCAGCCAACAGGGCCTTGGTCAGGACAGGGAGAGCTGCAGGAGACGGAGTTCAGACTCTCGACGTTCATTCGGCGACTGTCCAGGAGCTGAACTGCTGGCAGCTCCTTCTTGGGCCACACTCTAGGGACGGGTTCTCCCGCCTTTGGCTCTTCACGGCCAGCAGCACCTTCATGCAGCCAGGTCTCTTTCCTTCCTCCTGTGCTCCAGGGACGGATACCAGAGTCTCAGGCTTTCCTGGCTCAGAGGCGCCTTGTGGTGATGTTGGCATCAAAACACGGAGTCCTGAGGCAAACGTCAGCAAATTGCAGCACTGAGTCTGACCTGCTGCACTCCAAGGGCCTGCGTGCAGCTTGGCAGAGCCAAAGACAGGTGCTGGCGGGCTTGCCTTCCCCATCCTCCCCCAGCCCGTCAGGCCAAGCCCTGGTATTCACAGCCTGAAACACCCTGTCCAGAGAGTCTTCCCAACAGCTCAAGGACTTTCGATGGGTTTTAAGTTGTAGCAGCCGGGGGGCAGACTGTCGCGGATCTCCTCCAGGTTCCGAATATCAGCCAGGATCTCGTTAATGCTTCTCTCCAGTGTCTGGACCCGCAGCTTCTGCAGACTGGCTGTTTGCTCCAGCTCAGCCATCTGCTTTTTCAACTGGCCGTTCTCGGTCCTGGCCTTGCTGAGGCCGCGTTCGAGCTTTTTCAGCGCCTCCTCATCCACAGAGCCCGGCTGGTCTGGTTCCGAGGAGGAAGATAAGAAGAGGAAGCAATGAACAGAGGCTGGGGACTGGGTCTTTCTAAGCACACGGCCCTTCATCTCCCCCTCCCACTACAGTTACCCAGGGCTCTCCCCCTACCTAGGCTTTGGAAAAAGGCAGACAGCAAGGGGGGGGGCAGAACTGAAGAGGAGAGAGAGGAAGCTGGGAAATACTCGGAATTCCTTTCTTCACATCCTCAGCTCCAGGAGGCCACGTTTCTGAGGTGACAGGTTATAAACTATGAAATGCCTCCCGCTGGTGTGGGGTGCAGGGAAGTTTGGATCTGAAATCGGCCACACGCCTAGCAACAGGGCACAGTCACGGAGGACAAGGAGAAAGCTGGTCATGTGGTGGAGATGCTGGACAGGGACTCAGGAGATCAGGATTCAGCCGCGTTGCCACGGCAGCACCAGGGGCACGTGCTCAGCCCAGCTCAGCCATGCCTCCACTACCACAGCAATGTGGCTGCATTTACTCATGCTAGCTCATCGAGCATCTGCAAGTCTGTGAGGTGGGCAGGGATCTCTCCTCCCTGCTCACAGCAGAGACACCGCCACAGACAAAGAGCAATATGATTGCTGGCCACATAGCCTCATGGAGCTACTGCAGGGACTCACAACCCTACCTCGTGGTGGAGACAGAGCATCCCCATTTTACAGATGGGCAACCAAGGCTTCCCACCTCCCACCCTTTGTCTTGTTGGTTACGTGTGGTTGGCCAGCATCTAGAAGGAGGTGTCTCTACACTTACCTATCCGACGTAGAAGATCTTCCAGGGCATGCAGTGTCTCTTGGACAGCAGTCCCAGCACTACGGGCCTCGTCTTGGGCCCCTTGTACCTCCTGGCCAGTCTAAGGGAGGCAAGAGAAGGCAGTGAGGGCCTGTGTCACCCGGGCAGGATGCAGCTGCTTTGAGGCCGAAGGATGGGAACTCACTTTTTGTACAGCGGTGGCATCCATATTAATCTCCAGCGCCTTCCTCGTGAACTCCCTTTCTGCTTCTCTGGCCTCGTCCCGTAAAGCTATGACTCCTCTCTCCAGTGCCAGGGCCCCATCTGCTGTCCTGTTGGCTTCCAACCTCAACCGCATTATCTCCTAGGAACACGAAGGCAGCCAGAGTAGGCGATATCAGAGAAGCACGAAGGCCCACGAGGATTCATTTGGGAGAGAGACAGCAACCACGCACACAGGTGACTTGATTTGTGATGTGCTATGCACCCACAACTGCTACTGCTTTCAGCGGGGGGCTGCTAGCCCTGAGCACCCCTGCAAGTCAGCCAGAGATGAACGGGCAAGAAAGACGACCTGGCTCGTGAGCCTGTTTGACACACTCATCAGGCCCAAGTTACATCAGATTCACCCACTTGCATCAATATCATATTGGTTTCCCAGCTAGTTTATTTCCCTTCTGCAGAGTATCACACTGCGTTGTAGCCACGCCCTGAACTCTTCCATGGGATGAGCAGATTCCAGGGGGCCAGTCTTTCCTAGGCATCCTACAGGGAGCTACTCTGGGATTTCAGGTCCATCTACGCTGCAGCTGCGATTCCCAGCCAGGCTAAATGTACACGGGACAGTTCTCACCAAGCTAGTGCGCTCACAATAGCTGAGCCGCACTGACTAGCTAAGTACGTCTTCCATCTGCAGAGCAGTCACCGCTTTAGTGGCTGAACCTGCAACGCCAGGCCAATGTCACACAAAATCTGCACGGGGACTCGGACTATGCGTATTATTTACCAGGACACTTCTGGGATACGTTCAAGTAACTCAGACCCTGCATGTTGATTGGGAGCTGAACAGGAAGTAAGGTTAGAGTCTTAACAAAGAAGTGCTTCTCCGTGCCCTGTCTTCCACCCCCCGCTCCTTGCCCTTGCCATTCTTCTCCCATTCCCCAGTGCTCCGCGTCCCATTCCCCAGTGCCTGTCCCTACCTGCTGGATACCACTGGTGAGCTCCTTGGCCTCGCCGGCCATTCTTCTGGCTGTCTGTGCATTTGTAGCAGCGCTGCCCAGGGCGCTTTCCGCTTGTTCAGTCTTATCGCCCGCGTTCTTCACCATACTTTTGATGAGAGGGAGTCGTCTCATGGCTTCTTCAGCTTCTCTTCTCCTACCATCCACCTGCAGGTGAAACCCTGAAACAGAAAACACACACAGCCCGGTCAGACCCCCAAGGCGAGAGGGCATTCCTTGGAGGCCAGGCTGGGGCAGAACTGCCCCCTCGGCCGAAGAAAGATTAGCACCCCAGAAACTGCTTCTCCCATGGTAGAATGTCGACAGCAAGAGAACTGGGAAATGGGCGAGGGGATGTGATCAGAGAGAGATTCCCAGGAGGTTTGCTCCCATCCTACCACCCCAGAGCTGTGAAAATGATCAGGCTGTGCCTGGAATGAGTCTTTGCCCTTGGATGCTGGGATTACCTGGCATACGCTGCATTGGAACGCCCTGTGGGAAACAGCAACATACGGCTGTGGGAGCAGTAAATGAGAACTACTGACGGCTGCTGACTAGCAACTCACCCCGGAGATTCTTCAAGATGAGCTCAAGTTCGTAAAACGTAGCATTGCCGGCACTCACTGCCTGCTGGGCACTGCTCTGGGCTCGGTAGGCACGGGACAACAGCTGACTGGAAGCCTGTAACGAGCCAAAGGGGCCCAAGGAGACAGCAGATCAAGCAGAGTGCCAGGGAGGCAGCTTCATTTCACTGGGGAGGATTAAATTGCCAGCTCATCATCCGTGGCTCAAAGCCCATCCCAGCTCGGGTCAGAGGAAGGGAGGAATGGAGCTGGGATGGCAGTCTGCCTGCTGACCCGCTGCCTGCTCCTGAACCCAGCTGGGTTAAAGTAACGCACAGCTCACAGAGACAGCAGCTCTGTCAGGATAAGGGGGGGGGTCTTACCAGTCTCTTGCCTTCCCCGCTCTGTAACTGCCGCTGGATTTCTTCCTCCCAGCTGGCCGTGTTGCTTTGCAGCCGCCTGTATTCTGCCATGTACGTATCCACCAAGACCAACAGAGCATCCGCCTCCTGCCTGAGCCGGTTCGCCTCCCCCTGAGACACCAAGGAAAGAAGAGTTTGCTCTAGTCCCAGGTACCCAGCGCCCGTCACAAGGACTGGTCCCTGGCACTGATTGGCTGCCCGGTATTGCCAGCTCCCGGAGCTCTCCCGCAAGCTGGCACTGGAGACCCCATACCCCGCACTAAGCAGCGGGCAGGATAAGGGGACGTCCGGCAACAGGATGCTGGTGGTGGGGAGGGCAGGAAGGACAAGTGCCTCGGAGTTCACTAGTGTCCGGCAGCTGAGAGGTCCTCACCTGGAAGGACCCAAGGTCGATCTTTGATAAGCGAGACAGGAAGCTTAGGAGCAGCAGGCTGCCCTGATAGGCCTTGTCTGCCTCCACGGCGGATCTGCTGGCATCCGCCTCCAGTTGGCTGGCTAGCAATTTGCTTTCGTCATATCTGCCAAGAAAAACAAAAGCACCTCATGCCACTGCCTCGCGTTTCACAGCTCCATGAGCAGCTCGGAAATCCATTGACCCCCCAATGGATTATCTGCCCAAAGGATAAATTTGGCTCCACAAATTTGTGTAACATGCCAAAGAAATGGTGTACTTCCAACACCCCTTTAGGAGGGTGCTTTCTCCTCCCGCTACCACAGAGACCTACACACACGTGTGCTGTGAACCTACTTTCTCAGCAGCCCTTGCACAGAGCTTGTCAGGATGTCTCCTCCGCTCGCACCTGAGCGCGCCAGCTCCAGGGCTTGCCCTGAGTCTTCCACCGCCGCCTTGGCGGCCAGCTCGATGACAAATGCTGACTGCAAGTGGCTGGAAAACAGAAGGGCTCCATGAGACAGGGGCCCGCAGAAGCCCCCTTGCTCCTTCCCTCCGCTTGTCTCGCCAGTCTATTCTGATGGGTCATCATCGGAGCAGCCATAGCCATGTGAGTCCCAGAATACGAGAGAGGCAAGGCGGGGGAGGTGGTGTCGTTTATTAATATAATATATATACACACACAGAGCGTGGCTTGAAAGCTTGTCTCTCAACAGACATGAGTCCAATAAGAGATACCACCTCCCCCAGCCTGTCTCCATCCCGAGAGCAGGTCCTTCTGGGAAACCCACACAGATACCGAGTGGTCCTGTCGCATCTTAGGGTATGTCTACACTACCCTCCTAATTCGAACTAGGAGGGTAATGTAGGCATACCGCACTTGCAAATGAAGCCCGGGATTTGAATTTCCCGGGCTTCATTTGCATAAGCCGGGCGCCGCCATTTTTAAATGCCGGCTAGTTCAAACCCCATGCCGCACAGCTACACGCGGCATGGAGTAGCTAGTTCGGATTAGGCTTTTAATCTGAACTAGCTGTACTCCTCGTGGAATGAGGAGGGTAGTGTAGACATACCCTTAGAGACTAACAAATATCTATATAGATATAGTATCATGAGCTTCCGTGGGCAAAATCCCCCTCCTCAGATGAGCAGAGTGGAGAGAAAAGGGGAGACCTGATCACTTTATAACAGAAAAAGAAGGGGGGAGGGGGAAATTACTTGTCAATTATAGTGCCAGTGCTAATGAAGTTAACTGAGTGAGCTGGAAGTGTCCCATCCTTAGCTTTTGTTGTCTATTGGGTGTTGAATGTAAGGAAAGCAGGTTTTATAATGGCCCATCCAGTTCATGTCTTGGTTCAAGCCAGGAGAGACAGTGTCAAATTTGCATCGGAAGGCCAGTTCCACACCTCTCTCTGTAGTTGGTTTCTGAAATTCCTTTGTAGGAGAATGGTTGCTTTTAAGTGAGTTAACGAGCGCCCAGGCAGGTTAAAACGTTCTACAGGTTTTTGCATGTTACCGTTACCAATCTCTGTTGTGCATCCATGGAAAGCTCATGATACTACAGGCAGTCCCCGACTTACGCGGATCCGACTTACGTCGGATCCGCACTTACGAACGGAGCTTTCTCGCCCCGGAAGTCGGGGCGAGAAAGCCCCGTTCGTAAGCTGCTCCAGTGCCCCTGGTCTGCTGGAGACCGTCTCCAGCAGACCAGGGGCACCGGGCAGGTTCCCGCGCTTCTGAGGCTTTGCCAGAGCAAAGCCTCAGAAGCGCGGGGAACCGCCGCTGCTGCCGCTTCAGTCCGGGTGCCTGTGGTCTGCTTGGGGGCCCCCCCCCGCAGACCACAGGCACCGGGACTGAAGCTGCAGCCATGGCAGGGGCCTTCGGCCTCACTTTCCCCAGCCAGAGGGAGTAGGGGATGACATCAGAATGAAGAACCACTTCCTCTCCCCTGCTAGGCAGAGCCCGTGGGCCCGATGCAGCCTGTAACTTGCATTGATCCAGCCTGTTACGCTTGGGATTCCGGACTCCATAGCAGGACAAGCCAGCTCTGGCTTGCTCTGTTGTGGGAAGAGAGAGCCCAAGCCTCGTGGGCCGGATCAAGACATGCCGCATGCTGGGCCATAGGTCCCCATCCCTTTAACTAGATACAAATTTAATCACTAGCAGAACTTAAAATTATCGATAAGGTGAACTGATTTCGAAAGAACATGGTTTTCAAAGAAGAATAAATAAATTAAAACTAAATAAATATTTAGCTACCAGATTGCAGAAAATATCTCAAAAGTAAGTGACATGTTATTGCATATACAGGCAGTCCCCGACTTACGCGGATCCGACTTACGTCGGATCCGCACTTACGAACGGGGCTTTCTCGCTGCTCCGGTGCCAGCAGAGTTGCTCTGCCCCGGGCTTCCTGGAATCAGCTGCTGATCAGTTTCAGCAGCAGCTGACTTGGGGACGCCTGGGGTTCTTAAGTTGATTCTGTATGTAAGTCAGAACTGGTGGTCAGTTTCAGCAGTGTCTGAATCTGGACGCCAGTTCCGACTTACATACAGATTCAACTTAAGAACAAACCTACAGTCCCTATCTTGTACGTAACCCGGGGACTGCCTGTATATACATATTTTTGTTAGTCTCTCTAACGTGCTACAGGACTACTCGTGGTTTTTTAAAATTACAGAGTAACATGGCTATACCCCTGCAGAATATGTGCTTTCTGGCAGCGATGGTTCTCCTGAGTGCATCTCCTCACAGCAGCGCCGGATGGGAGGAGAGGCCGGCATGGCCCGGAATGTGCCAGTCAACAGAGCAGCCACTCACCTGTTTGCTAGTCTGAGAGCTTCTTGGGCCAGCATCAAAAAATCATTCGACCCACCTGGGAGATCGGAAGGGGGAATAATCTGTGGAGAAAGAGAAGTTAATGGCGCTCACGTGCTCTCACGCTCACTGGGTGCCGGCTGAAGGGAGGGCTTGAGGACGACTGGCAGGAGGTAAGAAAAGCACCTCACACTGCCGCAGCCGCCTCACCGGCCGTTCCAGGCTGCACGCCCCCAGGCAGGAGTAATGCTAAGGAGCCCCGGTCACAGAGCAAGGTGCTGTTTCTGCACCCACTAAATAATTTACACTGCACTTCCAGCCTCCCTGTAACAAACCTGAAGCCTATGCCCCTCATCCTGAATCCTGCACTCCCCCATGCTCCCAGTCCCCTGCCCTGAGCCCCCACAACTACTTGCTCTGGGACCACACCCCCCCACATACCTTTGAGCCTCCTTCACATTTCTCACAGGTACTGTTATATCACAGCTCCCCCAATCCGCTGCCCTGAGCTCCCTTGGGGAGCGGTGATATAACAGAACCTGTACAAAATATTGGGATATTTTCACCCCTGGGCAAAGTGCTGGAGAACTTACCAGCCCACTCAGGGTCTCTTGGCTTTGCTGCAGGTCCAAACGGGCTCTCTCGATCAGTCGCCTCATGTCCTGCACCTGGGCCTGGTACTGACGCCCCAGCGCCTGCAGCCTCTCCACAGTCGCCCTGACCTCAGCCAAGCGGCTCTGGTAGCTGGACTCGTGTCCCTTCATTCTGGACACCCGGCTCTCCAGGGACTTGTCAGAGGCTGGCAGGAGAGACCAAGAGAAATTTACGGGGCCGCAAGATAAAAAACCAGAACTGAGCACGAAGCGGCACACAGCTCGATGAAGAGAAAGACAGAAAGTCATGGGGGCGGTGGGGCTGTCCTAGAGTGTCCCCCATCCTCCCATACTGCACTGGCAACTAGGGGGCTGTCCCAGAGTGTTGCATTCAGCCTCCAGGTGACCCCCTGCTGTCTTCCCTCATTGGAGGGGAGGTGCGCGCCGCTGGTACCTTGTAAGCTCAGAGCTACTCTCAGGATTTCTCGCAGGGTCGCCTCAGTCTGCTGCATCTTCCTTTCCAGCTCCCCATTGGCCCCTGCCCCACTGCCAAGCTGCAGCTGAGACACAAGCACCTCCAGCTGCCGCAGCTGCTGCAGGTACTGATCCACCTGGAAACAAGACAGGCCGCCGGGTCAGCAAGCGGCAGAGCCATGGAGGTTACAGAGACAGAGGGCCGATAAAGAAAAGTTATTTATTAGTTCCCTAAATAGAAGAACTAGAGGACACCAAATGAAATTAATGGGGAGCAGGTTTAAAACGAATAAAAGAAAGTTCTTCACAAAGCGTGTAGTCAACCTGTGGAACTCCTTGCCAGAGGAGGCTGTGAAGACAAGGACTATAATAGAGTTTAAAGAGAAGCTAGATAATTTCATGGAGATTAGGTCCATAAAAGGCTATTAGCCAGGGGATAAAATGGTGTCCTTGGCCTCTGTTTGTCAGAGGCTGGAGAGGGATGGCAGGAGACAAATCACTTGATCATTGTCTTCGGTCCACCCTTGTGGAACTCCTTGCCAGAGGAGGCTGTGAAGACAAGGACTATAATAGAGTTTAAAGAGAAGCTAGATAATTTCATGGAGATTAGGTCCATAAAAGGCTATTAGCCAGGGGATAAAATGGTGTCCTTGGCCTCTGTTTGTCAGAGGCTGGAGAGGGATGGCAGGAGACAAATCACTTGATCATTGTCTTCGGTCCACCCTCTCTGGGGCCCCAGCCGCGGGGGGGCGGGGGGCCGGGGGGGGGGGGGGGGGGGTGAGGAAGAGCAGCCCAGGAGCGTTGAGAGGCTGAGAGTCAAGCAGAGTCTGGACCGAGCCCTTTCAGCGAATGCTAATCCTGGTCAAAACTCCAGATTAACAGCCCTGGCAGCTGAAACCTGCTGTCGCCAGACCAGGCAGCATCGCCTCTGCGCCTGTCTCCGACAGTCCTTGGCCTGTTTCTGGAAACAATCCCCACGGATGTCGTTTGGGGCCTGGCACGGCCACAGCACTAGCGATGTGGACGTCTGTCCACTTGAGACCAGACAGGCCACCGACAGCTTCCTGAGAGTACAAGCGTCCTGTCGCTAAAGCCTGGACTGGATTTGAATTGGGTCTTCCATGCACCGGGAAGCAGGGAGCCCTGAAACCCGAGCAGGAGGTGGCAGGACTGTGAATGTGTTCTGCTCCAAAGGGAGGAAAGTCCCAGACTCCTTAACCTCATCCCCTCCCGACAGCACCCGCAGGGAGAAGTTAGCTCCTAGAAGGCCCTGCTCCCTCATCTCATCTTCTCCTGAAAAGCTGAGAGCTGAAGGGGTGGGAAAAGCCCTCTCCCTCCCCAGAGAAAAGCTAAAAGCCAGACTTGGCCACCCCAAGTCTGCACTGAGCTGATTCTTGGAGGGAGAGATCTGCATTTCTGGGCCGAGCTGGGCTCTCCGGGTGCGGGAGGGTGGTTAATCCCCTTTGTATCTGGAAAAGTGAATTTGCTGAGCCTTATCTGTGGATTTGCCTTGACAGCTACTGGGTTCAATCTCTGACAGGAATGCAAAAGGAATTAGTGCCGGGGGAGGAGAGGGAATTATTGCTGAAATCTTCTGCTGGAGATGCGATGTCAGGGAGGGAATTCCAGCTCAGAAACCAGAGCAATGGGCACCCAGCTGACAGACACAAACATACCTGTGTTTTCACATGGCCGTAGCAGGTGGGGCACTGGGAGTGCTCACAGTTGGGCCCCTCGAATCCCGGCTTGCAAACACAGCTCCCATCGCTTCCGCACTTCAGGGGGTCAGACCCTACCGAGTTGCAGTTGCAGGCTGCAGAGAAAGCATAGGGTTGGAAGGAGCCACAAATCAAACCAACATTGAGAACCAAAGAGCCTAAGGAAAGATAGCAGCTCTCATAACAACATGTTCCTGTCCTAACCAGAACATCTTTCCATCCCTCTCCTCCATCTCACACTTCTGATCCTGCACTGTTTTTCCAAGGTGCACAACAAGCTGCACCCTGACCAACCGGTCTGCCCGCCTCCCTTTCTGAGCTAGAGAGAGAGAGCAATGAACAACTCCTACCCTGCTGCCAGAGTCGCTGTTCACCTCTGTATCGACAGCTTCCAAATAGTTATCGCTCCCTACTGAAGGAGTTCAGATGCTGGTGGGAAAACCAGTGATGCTACAAGAAGTCGTGCTGGTGATTTATACCGGCCGTACCTCGGAACAGCACTGCGCCAGCAAGGTACTGCTGGAGCCATCATCTCGGGATGGGGTTCAGCCTTACGGCCTAGCCTCCGTGTCCCCACTAGTATATTCCAGGTACTGAACATTCTCCCGGGAGTTTCAGCTGGACCCAGTATTCCTGACTAGTCTGAAAATAATGTGTAACGTTACTGCTCACTGGGAAATCCACCCTGAATGCGGATTCCAGAACCAGCTGGTTCAGTGATGAAGGAAGGGACTCTTGCACAGAGTGTGCAAAAACCAGCCCGGGAGCCTTAAAACGAGAGGTGCTCTGAAAGCAGCACGACACTAGTGCTGGGTTCGGGAGTCCATTCCCAGACCAGTTACGCTCTCGGCACAAGGCTCCTGTCTGGGATTCATTGCTGGGCCTCTCATTCTCACCAGCAAACCTAGTCGTCTCTCCGTTCCCTAGCTCTTCTCTGATCGGTACATGCTTCAGCCACATCCCTCTTAACCCCCTCGCACAGCAATGCAAACCTCCTTCCCACACAGCTGTGAGCCCCGAAAGAGCTTCCAGCAGCCTCAGCAAATGCTGAAGGAATTTAGGTCCATTCCCTGGATCTCCTCACGAGTTTCCCACTGGTGGAAACTCCCCATATGCCGACACAAATCCAGGCTTCTGGGAAGCACCTGCATCTTAACTTGAACCATCCAGACATCAAGCAAAGCCCGGGAGTCCAACAGCGAATTAACGGTCGCTTTGATGCGTTGTGAAAGTTGCATTCCTACATAGCAGCAGCTCCCACACCCTTAGCCTCATTGACGCAAACATGCACATTCTCCAGGGCAAACTTGTTCGGCCGGAGTGTGCACTGGACCCAGTATTTGTATTTGCCTTTGCATTCCTCGCGGGCTTTGGTACAGTGGCAGGGAGCCATTTGCGGGGCCTGAGAGAGCACAGGACTCTGGTCTCCGCACAGCATTTCAGCTCCTGGCGTGAGGGACGGAATGTCGTGAGAACGCAGGAGCGCGTGTTCTTTGAGCCCCACCAATGGCTCCATGAAGCACTGAAAGGGCTTGTGAAAAGGGTACCCAGGAAACCAAAGTCAGAGATGCTTGATTTTACTTACACTTACCATGTCCCAATGGGGAGGGCAGAGAGCTGCATGGGAAGGTGAGAAGAGTCTAGGGTGCATCTACCCACCACCGCCTCACAAATCTCCAGGGGCACGAAGTCTGGCCTTGCTCTCCTCAGATAGGAGGGCTTCCACCACACCCTGTGCTTAACTTGGCACTCCTTGAATGGCTCTCAGGTCCTGGCTCCCCCCAGATTTCCGCAAAGCGCAGCCCAGGTTTATCCAGATCCTGCTGGAGGCTTTATCCGACGTGGGACTTACATGCCCAGCTTTGATACTCGAACGCTCAGAGATGTGTTTCCCCACAGGCCTGCCCTCTCCAGTGCATACACACGCACGCTCCAGCTGACACTCCTACCTTGACACTTCTCTGCCGGGTTGGGGGCCAAGGGGTTCCCAAAGAACCCCTCCCTGCATTGGGCACAGGAGAAGCCGGCCGTATTGTAGAGGCATTTCAGGCATTCGCCCGTCAGTTGGTCACAGTTCCCCGCAGCACTGGGATCTACGTTGCTGTTACACTGGCAGGGCCGGCAGGGTCTCACGGGGCCCTTTTGGCCCAAGGGGTCTCCAAAATAGCCGTCAGCACAGAGCTCACAGTTAGCACCTGGGGAGAGAGAAACAAAAGTCAGAGGCCAATTACCCTCCAGAACCACACGGCTGAGACCCTCCCCTCCCCCGAATGCAGAGGGACACAGGCACTATGCCCTGCTACACAGGCACTATGCCCTGCTGGGATCTGCAGAACAATGAATTCACAGTCTCGGGTCCATGCTCAGGGAAGGGAACTCACCTGCCTTGTACAGTTATGAGAAGCCAATTTAGCTCCATGGAGCCTCTGACCTAAAGCAAGTCCCCTTCCATCCCAGCCGAGGGGCAAGAAGGAGTCTCTCCCCAGGGAAAGGAAGGACCCCTAGGCCAAGGAAGGACCCCTAGGCCATGGTACCGTGACAGGAAGCCTATTCTGACCGACTGGGGCACAGCACTGGGACAGACAACCTGGGATCTGCTCTTGTTTCTCCCTTAACCCCAACACTTCCTCTCCCTGTGTCTCAGTTTCCCTCCCTCACCCTTGGCCAGTCTGGACTTCCTGTCTCTCACTATGCGTGCGTACTGCAGCTGGCATGTTGGGGGCCTGATCTCGGCTGGGGCTGCTATGTGCTACTGGGAATAACAAAGTGGTGCCCAGATCAGAAAGCCAGGCTGTGCGGATATGATCGCACTCTACGCAACCCTCGCAACTCTGCTCCAGGCTAACCCAGGGCTGGGGAGAGCTGCACACACATGGAAAAGGACAGGAATCCACCTTTTCCTATGCTGCTGTCCTGCAGGAGACTGGAAGGACCCTGAAAAGGAAATGAACCTCCACACAACGCAGAGGGAGAAGATTACCAGTGACTCCCAGGGGACAGTTATTGCACACGATCTCCTTCCTCCCTGGCGCCACGAAGCAGCCCTGGCCACTTGTGCAAGGACACGGCCTGCAGCTCTGCGGATTCCAGGGGTCATTGTAGAAACCCAATGGGCAGCTGGCACTGGGCTCCATGTTTTCATCTCCTGAGTAACAGTCTCCTGGGGGAAAGAGCAAACAGTAGCACACCCGGCAGGACAGTCGAACCTAATGGAAGTCCTGTATTCTCCTGCAGGTCACAACCGCATGGCACTGTAACTTGCTGTGCAAGGAAAGATCTTTTCTCATAGCCCAACGCCACCTCCTACCAACTGCACCACTCCGTGCGAGTCAGCACCGGCCTGCAACCGAGCGCTGACCCGCATAGCACAATTCCTCAGAACCCAACACGGCCACCAGTAGCCTGGCGCCATTCGGTACAGCTTGGCAGGCCCCCTACAGCAGGTGTGTGACCTGGCACCATTCTTCGCCTCCATCTCTCAGCGCAGTCCATTGTAACTTGGGGTAATGTTTACTCCACTAGTCAATAGCAGGCGATCATGTTATGAGGTACCACATCTAGCCGGCTCTCTCTCAGGGCTGGACACTCGGGGTATGTCTAGACTAACTAGTTTATCCAGATCTTTTTCAGGGCTGGACACTTGGGGTATGTCTAGACTAACTAGTTTATCCAGCATAGGCAAAGAAGTGGGGATTTAAATAATCCCCGCTTCATTAAAATAAACATGGCCGCCTCAGCTGGGGAAGCCTTTGCCGACAGATCCTGTAAATCTTGTTTCACGAGGCATAAGGGATCGGTCGGCAAAGGCTTCCCCAGCCGACAGATCCGCAACTAGACTGCCACGCTGTGCCGGATCAGATGATCGTTGGCACAGCGCGGCGGCCATGTTTATTTTAATTAAGCTGGGATTATTTAAATCCCCACTTCTTTGCCTATGCCGGGTAAACTAGTTTACATGGCTCCGTCGACGGAGCCATGTAGTCGAGACATACCCTCAGGCTATATAATGGTAAGTCCAGCCCTAAGAAGGACTATCACAATCAGAAGAAACTTAAAACACAACAAATGGTCTAGTAGCACTTTAAAGACTAACAAAACATGGAGACAGTATCATGAGCTTTCGTGGGCACAGCCCACTTCTTCAGATGAGTGGAGTGTGTGTTGTGCCCATGAAAGGTCATGATACTGTCTACGTGTTTTGTTAGTCTGTAAAGTGCTACTAGACTATTTGTTGTTTTTTAAGTTTTTCCTGTTACAGACTAACTCAGCTACCTCTCTGAAGCTTTATTGCAATCAGAGTCCTGCACCTAGACACGGAGCACTTTGTGGAATACAAGACTCTTCTGAGAAAGACGCACGTGTACTGGGCCTTTAATACACTTGGCAGGCAGCGTTCCCCAGAATCCAGCACCTTCCCCATCACCCGGTTTTATCCTCTGCCACCTCAGGATGAAAGCGGGTTGGGAAAACAGAATTTTCATTCTGCTGGAATTGCTGACATTCCAAAACGGGCCTGCATTCCGAATCAGAAGGAAGAGTCGCAATTTTAAAACGTCCAACGTTCAGGAGGGTTGAACTGCACCGTTTTGACAAGGGAAAACATGACCCTTCAATAAAGTAAAAAAAGCTTTGGCCCTCTGATTTCAATTGACGGCATGTGGAGTTTGGTTTTTGAAATGGTTAAACATCTGATGTACTATTAAAAGTAAAGTTTTGGGAGCACAGAAAAGCCTAAAGGAAATATTTCAACCTCAAAATGAAACAAGGTTTTCCCTGTCGAAAACTCAATCAAAACTGACCGATTCCCGCAAACCATTAAGATTCTGCCAAAACCTCCTTTTTTCAAAGCAAAACTGTCCTGCCTCCATGTTGGGGGAATCAAAACTGACCGATTCCCACAAACCATTAAGATTCTGCCCAAACCTCCTTTTTTCAAGGCAAAACTGTCCTGCCTCCATGTTGGGGACCAGTTCTCCTGACAGCAACGTTGACTATCACCCAGCAACCTCACCTATTCCTCTGGTGCCCGTCATGCAGCACTACCTCCTCTCCCGGCTCTAGCCACTGGGCACCGGCACCACCCGCAACCCCCAGCTGTGATTGCGGTTTCCCTTACCCGTGTCTGGATCGCAGTTTTCTCCCCCCTGGCAGTCACACTGCACACAGGTGCTGAAAGGCCCCAGGTTGGAAGCATCTCTCTTGTAGCCAGGAGCACAGCGTTCGCAGAACTGCCCCTCGTAGCCAGCAGGGCAACCACATCGTTCCACCCAGGGAGCTGGGATTCCAGGCGCCGGCAGTGCAGAAACCAGGGTGACGTTATCGATGTACCCAGTGCCTGACAGCAGAGACAACACATCACATTTACAGCCAGTGGAGGAGCACTGAATTCCTCCCCCAACCCATGACAATAGGCATCCTAAAGACTGTGCCCGTACCAGGAAGTAGTGGGTGTTTTCTGTGCACGCTGCACTTCTAGTCAGAGAATGTGTGTGGCGCTTACAGCAAAGGCCTGCTATTCCCAACTCTGCCACCGATTCATCGCATGGCCTTTGGCAAGTCACGTAACTGCTGTGTGCCTCAGTTTCCCCATCTGTAAGTGGCGTGTCACATTTACCCGCTTCACGGGGATTCTGTAAGGCTTCTTGTCTATACAGTGCTTTGGAGACGACAAGTGATATGTGAAGTGTTCCCCAGATCCCAACCTTTCCCCACTCACTGTATTCTCCATACGTGGCACGGATCTTAAGGGCCGTCAGATTTCCGAGTAGCCTGCGATACTCAAAGTAACTCAGCGTGGGGCTCCACCCGCTGCTCGGGTGCTCGTTCAGTCTGTGCATCAGAAGGGAAAGAAATTGAGGAACAAAGAATAAATGTAAAGATCATCTTGCTGTCAGCTCTCTCCTGACAACCTTGAGACAGAAAGAACTCCCAAGATTACCCTTCTTGCAGAGCATAACTGACATAAGGCAAAGTGCAGCCAAGTAGCCCTGATAGGGACACCTAATATTCCTCCTTACCTGCCACCCCCTGGCTCCTCGAGGCAAGAAGCTGAGTGAGCTGCAGGGGCAGGGGAAACCTCCAGCCAAGCCATTCTCTCTTGCTTTGGAGACGACAAGTGATATGTGAAGTGTTCCCCAGATCCCAACCTTTCCCCACTCACTGTATTCTCCATACGTGGCACGGATCTTAAGGGCCGTCAGATTTCCGAGTAGCCTGCGATACTCAAAGTAACTCAGCGTGGGGCTCCACCCGCTGCTCGGGTGCTCGTTCAGTCTGTGCATCAGAAGGGAAAGAAATTGAGGAACAAAGAATAAATGTAAAGATCATCTTGCTGTCAGCTCTCTCCTGACAACCTTGAGACAGAAAGAACTTGGGCTCCCACGATTACTCAAGGGGTTGCAGAGGGACAGACCTACCAGCAGACTGAAATCAACAACCCAGCCTAAGGTCCCTCTGACTAAGTGCCCGGCCTCATGGCCTCCAGATGGTCTCATGCTCTGGGAACCAAAATGCAGCTGCTCCTAGAGGGACAGACCGACCAGCAGAATGAAATCAACAACCCAACCTCTGACTAAGTGCCCAGCCTCACGGCCTCCAAATGGTCTCATACTCTGGGAACCAAAATGCAGCTGCTCCTGCTTGTGAAGGGCCGAACCACAGAGAATCTACCTGCTTTGGGCAGGGCGGGGGGTGTCTGGCAGCTGGGTTACAAGGAAATCTCAGTGACTCTGGCACGTGTTTGTTGTGAGAACAGTGACTCTGCAGTCGCTGAGGGGTGAGAGCACCCCCTTCTCCTCCCGCCCCCCCGCATCCTCCTGCTTTACCTGAACGCATATGTCTTGCTGATGCCACAGGACAGCATCTTCCCGTGAGGCACAAGGGGGGCAGTGACTCGTAGGCCAGCTCCTTCCAGGACCACATCCCGGGGAGACGGACGACGACCCCCTCGGTCCATGCGATAATCGAAGGACAGGACCTGGCCGTAGCTCAGCTGCTGGTTCCCAAGGAATCTGGCTGTGCAGGGAAGAGGCCCAGAGGGAGAAGGTTAAAGGGTCAAACCCTCCCATGAGAAAGTCTTAATTCCTGGAGCCGGCCCCGGGCACGTGGTACATGTGGGGCTACCCAGACAGAAGATTACATTTTGGAAGGTCCCAGTATCCCGTCTGCTCTGATTCCACCACCAGCCCGAGTGATGAATCAGGGGACATGGCATTTACCAGCTCTCCAGTGGCAAGTGCCCTGGCCCAGTCCCACCCCCCAGCTGCTGAAACCTGCCCCAGTAGAGAGCCTCCCAAACTCCCTTACCCCTCAAACACTCCTGTCTCCCCCCCAGGGATAATTACTGCCCTCCCTGCTTCTCTCCCTCCATTAACCATGCCTCCCAGACCCCAGAGGGCTGCCTAGCCCCACACGCCAGGTCCTGCCAGCTCACATGGTCATGCCAGAGACAGGCACAGCCAGTAGAAGCCCACCCCTTCCCCCGTGCGATCAGCAAACTCCCTCCCTTGCAAAATCCAACCCCTTCACCCAACACAGAGCCATGAAGAAGGGCAGCTCCCTGCAGCCAGCGTGAATTAGCCAATGCCCCAGGCAGCCAGCAGGTGGCGAGGCTGAGCCGGCCTTGCGTTAGGGGCAGCGGTTCTCCAAGCGTGGCCTGCGACCATCTTGCAGGCGAGCCACGGGCTCAGGGCTGCCCGGCCCCGCAGGCATCTTGCCACCGTGGGCGGTGGGCCGCGGAAAGGGCAGCGTTGAGTGGGGTGGGCCGCGAGCCAGAAACCTGGAGAACCACAGCTCTGGGGTGGGCTTCTCGCTAGATTTCCCAGCCGTGACGGGGAGTGGGCACCACGGCATGAAGCAGAAGGGTCTGCGTGACAGCTTTGCCATGCTCGGGGCAGCCAACAGCCCCTGGGGGGCCAGGGCGGGGGGGCCGGGGCAGCCAGCTCTCCACAGCGCCTGGAGTATGGCGTTCCCTGTCCCCAGAGCTGCACGGAGCGTGCGGCACAGCGCTCCGGCAGCAATCCGCAGGACCTAGAGCTCCGGCTGCTGCCGCAGTAGCAACAGTAGCAACTGGGAGCTCCAGGTCCCTTTGAATCATGGGTCCCAAGGCAGCTGTCCCCTTTATCCTCCCCCATCGGTGGGGCTGGCCACGTTCAGTTTCATTGCACGGTGCTTCCTCCTTGGCTGCTCCCCTGTGTGCATAGGGTTGCCAGATGGTTTCAGAAAAAATACCAAACACAAACACACACACACAAAAATACGCCAGGAAAAAGTTTCACAAACACACACACACACAAAAATACGCCAGGAAAAAGTTTGTTGAGCTAAATCAATCAATCAATCAAGGATCCCGAGAGCTGTTAAAAAAAAAACCCAAACACACACCGTGGTCCCTTTAAAAACCGTGTGGTGAGGCTTTTTGGCCCTAACATGCCAGCAGCGGCCTGCCATTTTGCCTCCCTGCACTGGGCCAGACAGCTCCCCGGTAATCACTAGGGTTGCCAGGCTGCCTCTGTATTGAGCCGAACAGCTTGGGATTTTCTCCTCCTGGCCGGGAAAAAAAATAATCAGAAAGTACCGGACATTTTAGGGGTCTGGTATTTTCTGCAATTTTTTATTGGACAGGAAGCGAAAATAACAGACTGTCCGGTTCAATACCAGACACGTGGCAACCCTATGCACACATCTCCTACTGTCCACGCACATCCTTACCTGGCGCCATGAAAAACGTGGGCTCTTGTCTCCTGGCTGTAACATACACATCCCGATGGCGGGGAGACCACTGGAGCGGTGCAGGGGACCCGTCCACATATGCTCCTCTCCAGCCCTCGGCATCTAGAAAGGTAAAATTCAACCGTTTTGCAGGAAATGGAAGCAAAGGAGAGGCTGTCTGGGACTCTGCGGTCAGGTCGTTCATCGTCAGTCACATCCGCCCTGCACGCTGGCATGCCCCCAGGCGGCGGTCTGCCCACTTCCTCACATTGTGCACTAGTGACCGCCTTGGTAACAGTTGCCAGCCCAGTTCTCCGTACCGGAGCGATCCGGGTTGACAGCAGGGATCACCGGCCAAAGAGCAGGAGGATGGAATGGGAGGGACGTTATGTTCGCCTTGCCCTCAGACACGTCTTTCTGTGATCTGCTGGTCAGCCCGCGAGGAAGGGCCTTAGGTGAGAACTGCCAGCCACATGGCGCTCGGATGAGAGCAAGGGGACACGCGACTGAAATGGCTCCAAATAAACGTCCCTGCGAGTTAATAAATCCAGACCCTGCGATAGCTCCCTGGAGGGTGTTAGTCTCTGTAGTGCGCGGACGTCTCACGTGGACACCAGCTGCGGCCTGGGGAGGGTGTTAGTCTGTGTAGCGCGCGGACATCTCACGTGGACACCAGCTGCGGCCTGGACCGCGGATTGCTTTAAAAATAAACAACTGGCTGCCCTCTCCCTTGCCCCCAGTGCAAGGCCTGAGAGGTAACAATGCCAACCACGAGAGGAAATATCTGCCTAGGTCTCAAGTGCTGCTCTCCATGCGCCTCAGTAAAACGCAAGAGAGAAATATCCCTCGAGCGCCATGGGATGGGGAGAGCCAGCGGCCAGAAGGGAGGCCGGGCAGTCGCCGAGTCATAGTAGGTCGGGCCTCACTCGGGGATGGATTTCAGTCTCTCCATCCCCACCAGAGATCCCGTGAAAGGACATTCACACACGGGCAGGGCAGGAGGCAATGGCGCTGCAGCCGCCCAGCAGGCAGCGCACACAAAGGAGGCAAAGCCAGCGCAGTCACACGAGCACCGGGGGAAGGTTTTACCTTGCTGGAAGGAGGAGGTGATTTTATGGACGTTGTAATTTTCTGCACTGGCACACGAGGTGGAGTGGCCATGACAGAAGCACGGGGAACATCCCTCGGGGTTTTTTGCATCCAGATTATAGTAGCCCTGTTTGCACCTGGGAAAGAGACGGTATCAATCCGCTGGGCTGCCGGGTACATTTCACAGCCACACAGAACATCGAGTGTGCAAGTGAGCCGCACAGAGAGGCTTTCATACTAGCCATGTGCAAATCCACTCGCGGCTCCTCCACCACAACCCACCGCTGGCACCAACCAGCTGCTAGCGAGCCACAAGGTGTTTCTTCCCAAAGGCCCGGCGAATCAGCCCCATATTAATGAGCTCAAGAGACCCCAACCAGGGTCAACATTTCTAAAGCACATGGTGGGTGCCGAGCTCTTGGGCACCAATTGTAGGGGCGGAGTGCTTGCAAAAACCTGGTCCCCGTGCAAAGGCTTGTTATAAATACGTGTGATCCAGCACAGCTGGGGGAAGATTCGCCCACGCTGGGCTAGACTCGCCCACCAGCCTTCTGTCCTTCTTGGAACACAGCACGTACCCCAGGAACACACTGCAGCAGGCCTGGGGTGGATCTTGCTATGCAGCTTCACCTGCCTCAACATGGCTCTGCTCCAGAGGGCTGGGAGTAGTAATAGCTCCCTGCTGGGTGTGTGGTGGTACAACTGGCTTTGAAGAGCTTATCTTGCTGGAACGTGGAGGTGATTTTATGGACGTTGTAATTTTCTGCCCTGGCTCACATCCAGGGACATTTTTTCCCCTCACACACCCATCAGGAAAGGTGGATTTTCTTAGGCCCTGCTGCCTAGTCAATGCCTTGCTCCTGTTTGTGCCAGGTGATGCCAACGCCGTGCCTCAGGATACAGTAACCTGGCACCTGGGGCAGAGAGACACTGGGTACTCTCCACCCAGGGAAGGCTGGGGGAAAAACACAGAAGGCTGTGGCCCCAGTGGCAGCCCCTTAAAGCCACAGACCTGGCACAACACCTGAGGGCAAAGGGCATAGCTGGGTTCTGGGAAATGTGAGCGGCAACTGGCTTTGGGACTGGAGCGTATGACCTATGAGGAGAAACGGAGGGATTTGGGTTTGTTTAGTCTGCAGGAGAGAAGAGTGAGGGGGGATTTGAGAGCAGCCTTCAGCTTCCTGAAGGGAGGTTCCAGAGAGGCTGTTCTCTGTGGGGAGGGGTGGCAGAACAAGGAGCAATGGTCTCAAGTTACAGTGGGGGAGGTCTAAGTTGGATATTAGGAAAAACTATTTCACTAGGAGGGTGGTGAAGCACTGGGCTGGGTTCCCTAGGGAGGTGGTGAAATCTCCGTCCCTAGAGGTGTTTAAGTCTCGGCTTGACAAAGCCCTGGCTGGGTTGATTTAGTTGGGATTGGTCCTGCCTTGGGCAGGGGGCTGCACTTGATGACCTCCTGGGGTCTCTTCCAGCCCTGGGATTCTATGAGAAATCACACTGTGGAGGTGGCTCTCCCCGCCCCAGAGCCACATGCTAATCGGCAGAGCCCTTTGGGTCGGCTGTCTGTGTTTGGAAGGGGACCTTTAGCGCCTGCTCTGGAGAAGTGAAGGACTCAGGCACGTACCTGTCACATCGCTCTCCCGAGACGCTTGCCTTGCACACGCAGCGACCTGACACACAACGCCCCGTGCCACCGGCTGGATCACAGTCACACTGAGCACTCCTGAGGAGGAAAGAAAGCGTCTGGGGCTGATTGCCAGTGGGGATGTTAAACAACAGTCAACGGAATAGTCGATTAACCTCAAGAATTCTAATCGGTTACTCAGCTCACATCGCTCTCCCGAGACGCTTGCCTTGCACACGCAGCGACCTGACACACAACGCCCCGTGCCACCGGCTGGATCACAGTCACACTGAGCACTCCTGAGGAGGAAAGAAAGCGTCTGGGGCTGATTGCCAGTGGGGATGTTAAACAACAGTCAACGGAATAGTCGATTAACCTCAAGAATTCTAATCGGTTACTCAGCTACTCTATCGTCTCCCGGGGTGGGGCTGGCAGGCAGGGCGCTCCCGGCCCACCCCCGAGGGGTGCCCC